AACTTTACCCTCAAGATTGTCAAATCAAACATTATTTAACTTCATGTATTAACCAAATAACATTTTTCTTATGCATGTTACAATATTGAGCATTAATGTGACAATATGAGAGATGTCCGCTCTGTTAAGTCTCCTGATCTAATTTTCCCGGTTAAAATCAATTTCCTGGTTAAAAATCAATTATATATTGTCTTTACCCTTCATCTATCTTACAGCCAGAACTAGTGTTGGCAAGTGACATGAAATGATACAAATGACATGTCACATGTCATTATATCATTTCAAAAGGCAAATGACAAATGATTGTCATTTAAAATATATCATGTGACCTGTAATATATTTCGCATATTTATTCTGTTAACTTTTTATTACATTAGATATTTAATTCAAGTTTATCATTGAACTAACATAAACTGGCATTTCTAAAGATTCATTAAACAAATTAAGTAGATTTCATTTAGCTAATGGATTATCTACTGGATGAGTATCCTGCCCACCTACTTCAAAATTATAAGTTTCTTTATTTATAACTCATCGCTATCTAAATGATTTTCTTTGTCAATCAACTGACAAAAACGCGAAAAAAAATTAAAATCTTTAGATTCATTTTGCATAAAATAAAATGTTATCACTTATTTTTTTTCCAAATTTAATAAACGAAATATATTTTTGCTGCAAAATGGATCATCAAATGATAATGACATTATCATTTAAAAATGACACGTCATTTCGTCACTTGTCATTTGTAAATGACATTTATTTTATACGAATTCTTATATCATTTTGATATCATTTGGGATCATTTAAAAATTAGTCAAATGACATTGTCATTTGCCATCACTGTAATAAATAAGTGATTAGAGCCTTGTCATAACAGATAATACTCTAGGGGTTATCTTATTAACTGATAAAATCCGGTTAATATTAACTGAGTACTATACTTTCAGATAAATATTAAAGTTTACTAAAGCTTATCACACCTAGCTATTTAAATAGATTATATTAATATTTCTTCTTAAAATCACACTTTCGAAAAAAATAATCACGTCCTGCATAAATAATAAAATGCGAATATATTTGAGCACGTAGAAAGTGAATATGATGAACAATCTTTCTTATCGACAATAATTTTCAATTTGTTAGAAAATATTTATCTATTCAGATAACACGAGGTGCAAGCGAACGTATACAGTATTTAATGATGCTAGTTTAATAATAGCTAAAAGAGCTACTATGAAGGAAGATTTATTCCTTTAAAGAGATGGTAATTTATAAATATAAATTATATTATTCAATAAAATAACTTATATAATTTATCAATGGATTGGTTATTTATAATTTTATGTCATCATTTTTAATTAATCATTAATATTAAAATAAAATCAGAATAAGTTTTATCAGGATCAACTTAGCTAAGGAACTCGGATGCAATTTTTTCAAAACAAGTAACTATATTTAACCTTAAAGTTATCCGTTTCCAAGCTCAAATGTAAACGCATCTCACTTTTTTACTATTAGGTCAAAATTCACGTGATTAAATTGTTCGGACCTATCTGGGTGACAGTTTCAAAGAATGTTACTTTTTGATTTCGATTACTGTATAATTACTATTCTCTGTATCCTTCGTCTTTTCATTCAAAATAAATAAATAAATAAATAAATAAGTAATCCAAATTTCTCATTACATTATTTCTTTATTTTACTAATTTCTAAAATTTACGTAACATAAATTACAACTTGCGATCTATTACGCTAGTCAATTTTATTTAATATTACGTCAATTTATCGTCATATTACCCCAAGCAAGTCAAAATGACTAATAGCTGATTCACCATCAGGTTTTTTTAAAATCTATTTATAATAGCCTGATACACATATTTTGATCATTATCAATTAAGATAAATATAACTATCTGGACCTTTATTGTATTCTAAATTTTTATCTTTCTTCACAAAAAAAAAAAAAGAAATGATTAAACCTCGAATTCTTGCTGTTAATTGTGAGCAAATATTGATCATTTTAAATAATATTATCAAGAACAAAGATGATACTTCTCTTATAGGTTATCCTGTTCTTATTGGTTCACGTGCCGCAAAATGGCATTCTCCTTCTTTCCGTGATCCTAATGATTGGGATTTAATAGCAACTCCTTTACAAACAACTTTTTTTATTAATAAAGTTAAAGAATCTAGTGTAACTTTTGATAATATAAAATTAATTCATTATCCCAAAGGTGGATTAAAACTTGTGGGAGGGTGTATTGAGCAATCAACAGATGGAAAATCTATTAGTTTTGATATTGAAATTGTCTCTGATAAAATGGATCTCAGGAACATGAAACAAAACGTAAACGAAGATGAAAGTAATGAAGACGATGACGATATTGATGATGATGATATGCAAGATGATAATGAAATTGAATTTATTGAATTTGAAATTTTTAATGATGTTCAACCAAAAATAAGTGCCTTGATGATTTTAGAATTGTGTTGTAATATTGAAGATAAAACAATATTTCCGTTATTATCAAATTTTTTATGTATTGTTGCTCCATTGGAAATCCTTGAAGCTTTAAAATCATCTCATATCTATTGGCCATCCGATTTTCATAATAATATTGCAGATTTACACCATTTAAGAATTTTATTGGATTATAATAAAGTATCTAATGTTCAACCACTATGTCCACAACGTGATGAACAAATTGAACTTATGTTGAAAACTCGTATTAAGGAAACTGAAATTATACGAGGTATACCAGGTGATCATATCAACTTGAACATGTCCAATGAAGATTTCTTAGATAATGAGGATAACCTTTTTGTACAAAGACGCGTTCACCATGATGATTTACATGAACTTGTCAAATACGGTGATTATCCAATTTATCAAGGTTTAAAGGATGACCAGGTATAAAGATTTAATCTTAAAAATTTTTACAAAGGTTAATAATTATTTATTGTATTAAAATTTTATTTTAATGTTAATTGTTATTTAAAATCATATAGTCTAAAGCATGGATAAAGAAACCCCTTTTTGAAAAACTTGACTATCAAACAAAACTTAATTGTGTAAAAGAAGAAGCAATGGCTATTGCTCTTGAAAGATATCTTATTCCAATGATCTCCAAAGATCAAGAAAAATCTTATAAATTGGCACTAGCTAGGATTTGCACTACATTAACCAAAGGCTGGTTTCGTCAATTTGCAATTGATAATTATCCTCGACTTTCAAATCTTGATAAAGATTTATTATTGATTGCTCATAATGTAATTGAGAAATTTCCTATAAAACAAAATAGGCCAGATATTATAGTACTTGACCCAGAAACTCAAGCTATTTTTGAATCTATTCGTCCATACACCGAAACAATTTCCGTATTGAGTCCTTCTATTTCTGTCTATGATAATGATTATCGAAATGTTTATTTTAGTAGAGAAGGAATCAAGATTACTTCCCCTGTAAATTATAATATATCAATAACAGCTATTATTACTACTATGTGTAAGTTTTATTATGAAACATGCAGCACAGGTTCTACCTGGACAGCATCTGTTGCTATCTTGCCTAGTAAAGACTTGGAAGTCTTAAGGTAGATTTTGCTAACAATTTATATTTTTATTTTCCATATTTATTTATTTATTTATTGATACTTATTTATTAATAATTATTTAATTTAAATGATAATAGTGAAGATAATAAAAACGAAGACAGGTATAACAATTTGTATTTTTATTTTCCATATTTGTTTATTTATTGATACTTATTTATTAACAATTGTTTATTTAAATGATAATAGTGATAATAATGAAAACGAAGACAGGTATAACAATTTATATTTTTATTTTCCATATTTATTTATTGATTGATACTTATTTATTAACAATTATTTAATTTAAGTGATGATAGTGATGATAATGAAAATGAAGACAGGTATACACTCTAGTAATTTATAAATGAAGAACAATTATATGTTTTTTACAATAAATTAATCACATAATATTATAAATTCATTTCAGAAAATTATTTGATAAAGACAGTTGTGTATTATTTAAAGATCCGTTGAACATTCACCCTTATTATAATGATGATGAAGAGTGTTTTTCAAAATTAACTAGTAAGCATGTATTTGTAGTTAGAGTTAGTGCAAGTGGTGGTACTGGTGGTAGTTGGACTTTAGGAGATTATGCTTCAGTGTGTATTGAAGTTAAATCAGCCGATTATGTTGCTAGTATACTTGAAATCCCTGATCTAACTGGTGATATATTATTTAAATACGTATTGGATTATTTGAAACCATCTTTAATTAAAAATGGAGATACACCAATTAAAAATCGGATTAATGAATTGAAAATTGAAGGAGCTATTCCGACTGAACCAAAACAACATGTTTGGTATGATGCTTGGAATTATGAATTGAATATGAATTTTAACCATTAGTTACATAGTATTATTAGTAGTTGTCATGTATAATTAACATGTAAAATGTTTTTAAATAATGAATAATATACTAGTCTTTTGTCTCCCAATATGTTTTGATTTCACAAAAAAGTTCACCCCACTCGCTCCGGTCAAATCCTCCTCCTCTTGGCATCTATATTCTCATCAAACATTTTATTAATAAAGTAAAAAATTATGCAAATTTCAAACATAGTTGGCAGTCTTGCGCTACATCAGGAGTATTTAATGTGCAATTTATGTATAAAAAAGATTGTAACAATGAACAAAAACTTGTTAATATAATTAAATCAATTACGTACCTTTAAAAAGTATAATATTTGCATTTCTAAGTAATATATTGTGGTATATAGTATAATTTTTTACATCTTTTGTCTGTTTGAAGCAACCAAAACGCGCTTTTATATAGTAAAAATAGATTAGCGAAAATAGTAATGAGTTTGCCGATTAACTATATTGCTGATTATTCTCTCAAATTTATATTATTCACGTGGATATTAAATAAGAAATATTATTTATTTTTACAAGTAATATATAATAAGCATCAGTAGTATAGCGGTAGAATACTCGTCTTCCAAGCGAGTGGCCCGGGTTCAACTCCTGGCTGATGCCAAATGAAATATGTGTTTTTTTTTAGTATTACATGATAATTTATGGTATGTACATATTCAGTATATATAACAGAAAATAAACATGACTTAGTGGACCAATAAGTCAAGATATTCATTTCTTGATAAAGAAGCATATTGCATATATAAACAGTGCTATATACAAAAATGATTTAACTCGAGTCGTTTGGAACTGACTATGCCAAAACCATTATGATTCCAAACCGACTTCATGAACTGACTCAAAATCGAGTTTATAATATCATTTTTTACATACTCTATAAAGTATCATGACAGAAAATAAATTTCATACAAATATTTTTATTTAAATTTCTAGTTATTATTAAAGCATTTTAAACGCCTAATTTGCAGCATAGAAAGTATGTTGCAGTTTAAAAGCACCTTTTTTTTGTAAAAGTAGCCAGTGTCAATGTCCATTGTTTATGAAGATACACTAACTGAAAATTGATATATACTTATGTGGATTTGTGATATTTATTCGAACTCAAGAAAGTTTACTTCAATTAGCAAATAATATATCGGATTAACTTACTTAATATAAAGTTGATGATGTTTTATGATAAAAACAATTGTTCCTTTATCCTTGTATGTGAAGTAAAATAATAGAATTGTTCATCACCGAGAAGATTTTTTCAAGTCTTACGAATAAATTCGAATTATACTGTACTATTTCGGTAATATCATTATTAAATATTACACTGTTCGTGACAAAACTTTATATTAAGTATTATCTCAAATGGATAATTATGTAACGGTTTTATTTAATCAATAGGAAGCCGTTATTAAGTCCGAAGTAAATCACAGAACGTCATCAAGCGTAGAAGTATATATAGTCCTTCGACAGCACGTGGTAAGGTACTATAAAGTAATGAATTCATTTGCAGTGAACATTTAGAATTTAATATACGTTTATGTAATGCTTATAGCTAAAAAAATGTTTCTAACGTCAATAACTTTATTCCTTAGTAATACATAAAATCCAGCATACTTATGTTAAGCTGTTGCAAATTTAAGGTATTAATACATAGCGTATATTCATATATATACATAGGATTTTGACCATAAGTTTATTTTAAGGCATAGAATTTTTTGTCGCTATAGAGTTCCTATCCATTATCCGTTAAAAAAATGGATATCCGCGGATACTGAATTTTGGAAACACGTTCAACAACATTAACTCGTAGTACCGGCCAGAATAATGCTATATATATTTCCATTTTTGGATTATGTTACATAAAATCTTTAAAAGGAAAATTTTGATTTTTAGGAATGTTTTTTTCAGAAACCTTTTGAATAACAAATTTAACTTGCCAGCAGCCCATAATTTATTTATTTTATTAAATTTATAAACCAAATGAGAATTGTCAATATGTATACATGTATTATTTTAATGTTAATTCTTTATTTTCATGAAATATTATTATGCTTAGGCATGCTTGGCTTAAATTATTATGCATTTTTAATCATTTTATTTTCTTATGATTGAAATTTTGAATTACTATTAATTCTGGTTGAAAGTTTAAAACAATGATTCGGTTAGATACTAATAGAATTAAAAGTTATGTTTGAATTTTTTATTTACAATTTAGAATTTTACTATAATGTGAACAGTTTCAAATTCTGCAGCAATCTTATCAATAATTATTCAATGAAGTTTTAGTATAACATTGGAAAGCTATTATATACACAATAATGCATTGTGATAAATATAATAAATTAATTTTTGTTGTTAAATTCTAATTCTGGTCAAAACATTAAATGATCAGCATAAAAATTTACCTTTTTTAGGGAGACATTAAAAGAGGTAGAATCACATGATCATAGTAAAATATTTGTCACCGGCATCACGCCTTCTACTTTTTCATTTTTATTAAGTATTCTAGGGACATTAATTTTTTCGGTTAGTAAAACCTATATGTCACGCCTGTTATATGTCATATACGTAATTTCTGCCGTAATTCCGGCTAAATCTACCCCGCTTTAACGGACCCTCTTTTTTAGAAATTGTATTTTCAAATACTGTGCAAATAGAAACGATCTTTTATTTATTATTTTAATATTCATTAATGAAATACAAAAAATTAACATCTTAATAATAACATTAGTATACAGTATACTACATATTTGATACTATTACAATGTATTAAGATTCAGTGACATAAATTTTATAACAAATCTGAGATTACAGATAGGTTTTGTTTTCTTCACATTTATCAACATATTACATTTTTCTCCCACGAATATTTCTTTGCATTCATAACTTTTACTTTATATCAAATAAATATGGAGGTTTATAATAAACTTCCTTAATAAATAAACATTTAATTGTTTTGTTGTATTGTTTCCACAATTATATCAGTTTTTATTTTGATTAACTAATGATCCTGAAAATTTTTAAGAAAATTCCCCTTATTTAAAACTAATAAACTATAATTTTAATATAGTTTATTGGTAATTTATACATAATTGCATACATGATTTTCTAATCCTCTTATTACTTATTTAAAATGCTAAAAGTGCGTTGTGAATAAATAATATTGTAGGTTGTAACTTGAGGGAAAAAAAAAATGAATAATAAATGAATTCAATACATCCTATTATTATCAACAAATTTTTTATGATAAAAGTTACAACTTCAATAATAACATGCAGCCTTTTTTTAAAAAAAAATGCATTTAAACCTATATAGTTTACTTTGCTATAATTTAATATTTAAATTTACGATGTAATTTTACATAAAGCTATATATAAAATTTTCTACGGCCGGAATTACGATGATATCAGAATCAATGAATCCATTAACTATAAAGGGAATGATTTGCACGATTCTTTTTCGGCATTTATTTGTAAATGACTTGGTCATTTGATCGCTTGGATTTCCTTAATCATTTATCATTTTATTGTCTGCTTTATCACATGATTTTTAAGTGTAATGTAGGTCAGTAGACCAACATTAATGAGTGGTTAATCTCAAGTGACTCTCAAATGATATGTCATTTGAATCATTTGCTCAAGGCCTCATACAATACTGACTTGCTTGAATAATTTTTATTTATTTTAGGTAGTGCACAAAAGGTAAAGGTGAATTATCAACAATAAATTTGATTCCATAAACATTACATAACAGACAAACAATTATGTATTAATTTTTTGAGTGGCTGTAATTTTGTGTTATAATAATAATAGTAAACATATCTTATCATGAATTTGTTTCACATAAAGTAGTCCTTTCTAATTTACCATAAATATATGATGTGCAGATATTAATGATGTAATTGCAAAATTCTCTATCAACTAACTCGCCGATATACATGCATCTATAATATGCATCTATGCATCAAAGCCTCCTCTACAGCGCCAATTTCTAAAAATTTGTATGACAATTGAAACATAATTAATGTTTTTGGAATGACCAAAAGTTATTCAAGAAAGTTTGTTATAATATTTCTAATAAATTGTGATATTTGTACTAACCATATTTACAATTCCCTCATTTGACTATTAAGGTTAATGTGCCACTTAATATACGCCTTTAATTATATTACTCCGTTAAATAATAACGGATTAAGGAAAAGAAGGTTTGTAAATGAAATTTCATGGCGTTTTTAATTTCGGTATACTCCGAATGAGGTGCTTCTGAAAAATGGATGATGCCGTGATAGATAAATCTTAAATTTCATAATTATACAATTCATAAAATGATAAAATAATACTTAGGTGTACGAAATCTTAAATAATTAAATTAAAAAATATGTTCGTAAAAAGTAATTCTTAAATTCTTAATTTTGGTGTTGACGTCAGCACAGTCTGACTTCTATAACGATAAGATTATATGATAGTATATAGTATATCGTTATATCGTTATATGTACTGTATAGGCTCCATTATTCGTTAGGTTCGGAATTTAGGTTAATATCCGTTTTAATTCGTTTTTCTTATTGAATAATAACGTTAATAACACGTAAACATAATTATAATTATATACAATGATTATAACTAACATACCATTACAATAAATTTCAGGTGTTGTTTCTTCAATATTACGTTTTCTTAAAGAATTCAGTGTACCTGATGATTTACTAAATAAAGCATCACGTTTTTGTTTTCGAATTATTTTAAATATAATAATCCATTTATATATCAATTTTTTTTTTGATACAAATACCTTTGAATATAGTTTATATCCAACAAGTATTCTTTTGTAATATATTCTGGTTGAAACGTAACACCTAATATAATAAAATCATAATTAATATTAAAACATTTATGAAATATAATAATGACAATATACATATGAATACTTTTTGATAATGGTTTAATAAGTGAGGATTTAATCAAAGAAATCAAAGGACTTAAAGCTCTACTTGTATAAACAGCTTTTAAATGAAAATTTTCATTTAATTCGGAGCCAAGATTCTTTGATTCTATTAATTTCAATCTAATTTCCTCGGCTTGCTTAAATTGATTACTAGTATTATCTTCTTTAAATGAACCAAATGACCAAAAATAAAATTTTTCGCAAATTTCTTCTATGGTAGGTCTTTTTAAAGGATTATAATCCCAACATTCTTTCATTAATTCAATAAAACATTCAGGAGTATCAGTTGTAATTTTAGGACGTTTTCCATCAATAATTTTATAAATAAGATTAATATCATGTTCAACATTAGCAAAAGGTTTGTAACCTGTTGTTAGTTCCCACATGATTATACCAAAACTATATATATCAGATTTTTTTGAAAATGTCGCACCCGTGAATATTTCTGGTGCGATGTAAGGTATAACTCCATAAATTTCGTTATTTAATGAAGTATTATTTGCAGGTTGAGATAATCCTAAATCACCAATTTGCCATTTTCCAATGGTCTCTATTTCACATAATATATTTCCACTATGAAAATCTCGATGTATAAAACCATTTTCGTGAATAGATTTAAGTCTAACAATAACATCAGATAAATAGTTAATAACCATGCATAAATT